ATAAAACTGCTTTAGTGACCGAGACCCAAATTAGCTACGGGAATGAATTATAATATCACTAAGGATCTAACTCAACCACTCTGCCCTTAAGAAAAAAAGTATACACTAATTTTGAAACATTTTTCTTAAATATTATTTATTTCATTGTNGATTTATGAAATAATCTCAATTTGTTAAATCACGCAAAGCGTATTTTATGTAATAATGAGATTAATAGTGTGATTTTTAAAGAAATCTGTGTTTTTTAAAGGAGAAGGCATTCAATGACTAGATTTATTTTTCAATACATGCTTAATAACTGCACTAACTTCATTCATAAAAAATATAACTCAAACCCTCAACAATAGTGACAAGACTTGATAACTAGGCAATCTACCCTCGTGATACTTCTGTATTTCTTTATGTTTTAAAAGAAATAACTTAACAATAACACTGTACTGGATTTAATGTAGTATGGAATAAAATTATTATTTATGTGTACACATTGTATTTTCATTTAAATAATGTGTCACAAATTACGGTATAGTGTGTAAATTAGGAGTTGTAAGAAAGGAAAAAAAGTTAACAATTGGGGGCAGTTAGATGACTTTGTAGTAAAGACGAAGTATATGCGTTTTAAAAGACAAAAAAAAGCTTAAAAACGGTTACTGTAATATTGTGTTTTATGGGCTGTAGGGGTCAATTCACTAGTGACAGCCACTTAAACTATTTTTCTTCAGTAATATTTAACATGGGCTTTGGGGGTAAAATAAGGGTGACACTAGTCATTCAAGTATTTTATAAGTAAAGATTTGAGTTATGTTACTTTAACGTTTTAATTTACAAAAATCTTGTATTAAGTATCTCTAGAATCAATAAAAAGTTTTTAATTTGATTACATTTTAGATGATTTCGTAAATTATACAGCTTATTAAAGGGTAACTTATTATACGTAAACATGCATACACAGAATGCTGAGTCTACTAATGATTTTACATAGTTTATATATAGGAGTATCCATTCCTGTCCGTTGATAATATTATCCGATCAAAAACCATATAGTGGCGCACGGTAGTCCCTTTGTAGGTTGCTAATTCAGTTATCGAGGGCCTACGGTGGCAAAGTGAGAGGGCAAACGGTAGGCCCTACTTAAGCAGCTTCTATAAGTAAGTACCTAACCAAAGTTGAGACGTGTCATGATAAGAGAGTGAAAGAGACAGAGTCATATTGTCATTAAACACTTAGTTGTATCATTATATTGCTTAAAAGATGCTTACATTGCCGGTGACATGCAGTAAATACATAAACGATTGCTGTAAATTTGCAGTACATGACGTAAAAGTCAATTTTTTTCCTTTAAAACTTGAAGTTTTCCGTAGATATTATTATTTTTACGCAGTGTGAGTAATACACACTGCATACATCTCAAAAGGCTTTGAATCTTAACTCTACGAGCATAAATAAGTCCATTTAAAATTCTTAAATACATAATAAGGCTCACACTTAATTTTTTTTGTCATTCATAACAGTACATTTTATAATGTTTTAACGATACTTCGTTGCGTTCTTTTATTATCCGAACATATACGAAATCGAAACATGACGTATATGTATGAAATATAGTTAGGTTAAAGAGGATGCCTACGGTTTGACCCCTCACGTTACCTCAGTAGGTCCTATGTAGGCAGTCTACGGAGATCCTCACGGACTAAAGAGATAGCCTGCATAGATTTCTACTCGAATAATTTAGTATAAAAGAAAGAAACAATTACGGATACCTGGCCACCTTACGTACACGAGTTAAACAGTACTGTTAGAGGATTTCATAGTTTAATGAAAATGTCTAGATGGTTGTTAACTAAAACAAGGATAGATAAAAGGTCTAGATTTTCCGCAATATTATCAGTGGACAGGAACAGATACTCGTATACATAAACTATATAAAGTTATCAGTATACTCAGCTTTTTGTGTATGCATGTTTTCGTATAATAAGTTACCCTTTAATAGGCTGTATAATTTACGAAAGCATCTAAAATGTAATCAAATTAAAAACTTTTTATTGATTCTAGAGATACTTAATACAAGATTTTTGTTAATTAAAACGTTAAAGTAACATAACTCAAATCTTTACTTATAAAATACTTGAATGACTAGTGTCACCCTTATTTTACCCTCAAAGCTCATGTTAAATATTACTGAAAAAAAATAGTTCAAGTGGCTTTCACTAGTAAATTGACCCCTTGCCCATAAGACAAAATATTACAGTAACCAGTGGAACCAGCCATCCCCCAACTTCATACAACCAGCGGATAATTCTTTGACAACAATTTTAATTTTTTACCTCTTTTAGTGGTAAACTCTGATTGGCTGTAAGGACTCTTTTCTATTGGGCCCTGCTCTGTCCTGAGATTGCTAACTCATCAGCAGTTAACTTACAAACACGCTTTGCGTGATTTAATTAATTGGGATTATTTCATAAATCACTTACAAATATTTTTTATTTTAATATTCAAGAAGAGAAAAAAAAAATTCCTCGTTTTTAAGCTTTTTTTTGTCTTTTAAAACGCATATACTTCGTCTTTACTACAAAGTCATCTAACTGCCCCCAAGTGTTAACTTTTTTTCCTTTCTTACAACTCCTAATTTACACACTATACCGTAATTTGTCACACATTATTTAAATGAAAATACAATGTGTACACATAAATAATAATTTTATTCCATACTACATTAAATCCAGTACAGTGTTATTGTTAAGTTATTTCTTTTAAAACATAAAAAAATACAGAAGTATCACGAGGGTAGATTGCCTAGTTATCAAGTCTTGTCACTATTGTTGAGGGTTTGAGTTATATTTTTATGAATAAAGTTAGTGCAGTTATTAAGCATGTATTGAAAAGTAAATCTTGTTATTAAGTGCCTTCTCCTTTAAAAAATACAGATTTCTTCAAAAATCACACTATTAGTCTCATTATTATATAAAAAAGAAGCATTTATTTTTATTTTCGCAAAAATCTTGGTAACTACTAAACGAACTTTTTCCAAACTTAGACAGAAGTTTGTTTACAAGTTTTAATGTGTCATAGACTATAATAAATAGCAAGAACTTAATAATAGCTAGATGCATGACGTTGGAGGTAAAAATTAAACCTTTTGGAACCCTCACATAGTAAGAAAGCTTGGGGACCCCAAGCAATTTTTCAGTTCGTGGAAATACATGTTAAGTTATAATTTAATACTGTCAAATCTGAAAGTTTTTGTTGATTTGTAATTCGCGGCTGCTACCTTTTTGCCCCCTCAGCCGCTTGTACGGATACCCGGCGTGCTGCCGCAGCCGCTCATTAACGGTCAAAAAAGGGAGAGTAGAAGAAAACGCCGAGTCAGGCAAGCACAGCCGCCATCATATCTTTTTGACTTGACAGCACTGTCCTCGTGTTTTACTTTTACGTTGTCAACTCTGCTGAACTTAGCAGCCACGCATCAGCGTTCTGTATCAATCATTTATTTCGTCAATAAATAAAAGTAAATCAAACAGTTTTCGATCATTTAAATTTATTATACAGTCTCACTATACGTACAAATTCAGTGTTGGTAATGTCAGTTACTGTACTAGTTAACTGAAACTCACGTTTCGTACGTTGAACGTCATTTTTACTGCGATCTAAGATTAATCATAAGTTTTTAACAATCAGTTAAATTCTCTATTTAATTACTGATATTGTACAGAAATATTAAATTGTAAATACTGCTTTGTTTAATTATACATCTTTTATTTTTGAGGCAGCGTCCATATGACGTTAACAAACTGGAAGTCTATAGGCTGCGAGGTCTCGCCACGCTACGCGCCGCAGTGCACTACATACATACACTCGACGAATAGTATTGACACATGCTCCCTGAATAATACTTATAATCGTATTGTGTTTTTTAAAACGCCCATGTACAGTCATTTGAATTTTTCTTTTTTTTTTTTTTTTTGCCTAATGATACTATTATAGAACAATATTAAGTTTTTACGTAAACAAAATTAAATACCTCAAACAGTAATAAATAGAAAACGAATGAAGCAACGGCAGATACTTTGCTGCACATTCTGAAATGTTCTTAAATGTTTTAAAGTATTACCAAAAAATATATTTTAATAGGAACAAGACAAATATTTTAAGCATTACTTTATAGAGAGAGCTTAAAGCCTCTTTATGGGTTATTAATTAGTTGTATAGTGATAATTAAGACCATCGATAGCAGAGATAGTGCTCGATAAATGGGCTATAAAGTAATAAGTGTTCAGTCAACACAAACAAATTTTTACAGATGCCAGTATATCTATATTTAATGTACACTATAATATTTTTAATTATGCCAGTGTTTATTTTCATATATTATGTCATACTGCTTGGATGAAGTGGGACGGAAAATGGCTATTTGGGTGTCACTAGTTGGGACCTGACTCGGTATGAGAATTTAATGAGTGAGAAGTTATTCGACATTTATATTGGTTTGGGAACGAATTTAAAACTAATTTGTTAGGAAACTTCTAAAATCAGAATATTAAATTATACACTGATTAAAATTATAATTTATATAAGCTCTAATTAAATATAGTTTTAAATCCAATTGTGTCATAGGAAATGACAGACAAGTTCCTAATGAAGTAAATAATTATGAATTGCTTCGATATTGCAAACCCGTTTTATATGAGTTTCTTTTTTAATTTAATACAACTGATCTTCTAAAAAAATCGCTATGGCTAAAAAGGCTTCAGTTTGCATGACAATCTTTGAAATTATAACTTATTAAACAAATCGCGCAACCTGTCTTTATGAATCACAAGACGGGTAAAAACGTTCCAATCACGTAACAGTAAATCTTATAAGATAGGAATAATATTAAAGTTTCTCTTGTCATTCATTACCTGTGTACAAAAACTAATGTATGTTACTGATAGTTTTTTTAATTTTTCAAAAATGTATGCATTTCTTTTAATTATATGTGTTTCTGTTTTGAACTTTCATTTTAGTATGAGTACTGTGGCCTTAAATCAAGCGATAAAACTTTGAAAAAAAAAAAACGGAAGAAAAATCAAGATTCAGATGCTGAAGATGCTATCAATTCTCAATCGTGAGTAACTCTTAAAACCAGTGAAATAAATCTAAACAGCTTTGTGTAACATACATTTTCTTATTGAAGTGATAAAGAAAAATCAGAATCCTCGTCCGAAGCTACAAAAGCCGACTTCCCAAGACCAAGACAATGCTTTAGCAAAAACTCAAACCAAGCATCAAATGGCCATGAAACAAGTGAAGAAAGCTCAGAAAGTGAAAAATCAAACACTGGAGCAGATTTTGAGTTGCTATGACACCGACATTGCCAATTAATGACTTAATTGTATTCAAGATGACTTATTCTCAAGCTTCTATAATTTTGTAATTTAATAAAATGAAAAAAAAAACCAAAAGAATCAATCGGTATTTCAAATTCATAAATTGTATATTAACAACTAAATCATTGCAGTGACTTCGTACACTTGACCGTGTTGCTCTCATGAATCATAGTACAAAGTTATTTCATGCTCCAGACAGAGTTTAAAGCTTTTATTCATTCACGATTTCTTTTTACATTGACCTCCTGAAAATAATTCTTTAGAGTAAAAATCCATAGAAGTAAGATATGCATTTTTATTATCAATTTTCAGACAAAAAGTTTAAATATTCAACAAATTAAAGGTCTCTAACGTGGAAAAAAAGAATAGTAAGGAGGTACGTCCCGAGAATGGTCAACACTCATTACGTTTAAGACCTTTATTTAAGATACCACTTTCATAAGACAATGTCGCACGTGTGTTCTCTTCAAGGCTTGTCGTGTACTCGCGTAAGTATCACCCGGTTTCTTAACCTGATAACCCTCGATTGTCTGGATTTGAGGCTTGCTGGTCCTTATATCACATTGTTTCTCTCCCGTCGGTGCTCTCTGCTATAGAAGGAGAGACGCATCGAGGATTAACCCTACATAAGCCGTGGAGCAGCAGCGCAATCAAAGTCAAGTGCTATGGCAGCACCCCAAAACTCGAGTAGAGGGGGCTCAAAGCAAGTAAGGAGCAGTTATCTCGTCCATCAAGTAGCAGCTACTTGATGCTTCGAGGAAAAACTTATGAAATAGGCAGACATAGAGAATTCATACTTGTACGACAGTATACTCTTTTTGCATAGTAATCTGTAATCTATTCGGCAAATTTACGGTAAATATTGCAATCGGTACAGTAAGTTCAAGTTTTAGAAATATTTTTCGTATAGATGCAAATAATGTATAATTCTTACTACCTCAAGAAATTTTTTAGAGATTCTTTTAAATGTTTATTACTAAATGCATATAACATTTCTGCTTGAGAAATCTCTATGCAATAGAAAAGAAAAACGGAACAGGTTATTGAAGTAACAAATACGTAAAAATCCGTATTGTAATTATTATTGCATGGTATTCCAGCGCAATCGCACATTAAATACGATAAAAGTTGTGTTATACGTGAGAGGCTGGTTGGCGTTCTAACTCATCACAATACACAGTGATCACTCAACGAAAAAAGTAGCTGTTACACTACACTCGTTGTGCTGCTGTTACCCTTCCTCCTTCCTTGAGTAACTGCTCTACTCTATCGAGTGCCTGCTACTCGATGGCATCGAGGGACTGCCAATCAGGCTATTTATGCTGCTGCTTCATGGTCTGAGGAGCTGGCCCTCGAATCTTCTCTCCGTGTACAGACTTGTTTGCAATTGTGTGTGCTGTGCTGTATTCTGTTGTCTGTGTTGTTTATGTAGTTTATATTCCACACTCATTCTTCCATTTAATTGTAGAGCACCGCTGTTCTTTTTACATTAATACTTATGCTCTTCTAATTATTCAGTCTCCTCTCATTGTGTGCTAAGTATATAACAGTATTGAATGTGTGTGCACTTTGTCTTAAACTACAGTGTTGTTTCATATACAATATAATACATTTGGAATTATACATGCGTTATATACATGAAGTGTCTATTTTATAATTTCACATACGATTACGATTGATTGTCATTTATTTACTTATACAAAAAAAAATTTCTATACAAATTTCTTACCATCAGGATTTTAATTCTCTTTAGAGAAAAGAAAATTTTTTTCTCTCTTTGTCCTACGAACTGCGCCCCCCCCCCCCATACAGTCGAGTGACTGCCAGCGCTCCCTCTCGTCTGCTCATTATTGTTATTATTATTATTATCATTCTTAGAATTATCATTATTTCAGCTACAATAGCTATATATATTGTAATCGACGATAGGTTTTTTTTCACAATCAACCTTAATATAACTTTCTCGATATTACATATTTTAGAAAAAAGAAAATTCTTTCTTAGTCTCGTCCTACAGACTGCGCCCCCCGATACAATTGAGTGACTCCCAGCGGTCGTTTTGGTTTTCTCATTATTACTATCCTTATTATTATTATCATTATTATTATTGTTATTATTATTATTATTATTATTATTATTATCATCATTATTATTATTGTTGTTATTATTATTATTATTATAATTATTATTATTGTTGTTATTGTTATTGTACGCTATTGTTGTTATTATTATAGTGGTTTAGTCATTTTACTTCTTACTTTATATTAATTCGTTTTATTTATTTTTCCTCCAGTAATGAGAATTGCTTTGTTACGTTACGGATTTTATGTGGACTCACGACCCTTGGAGAATGTTTCCGTGATAATTACCGAACATTAACTAGGCGTTTTCAAGTCCTTTTCTGCATTTCGATGTATGTTGGCTGAGGCACTTAGGGATTTGTTGCCGTAGTCCCGTGTCCCGTCTCTCTCTGTGTTGTTTCTGCTTTGACTACCTGCAAACATTCTAGCCAAATTTAGTATTAAGGGGGCCCCATTTTAGGAATCCGAACAACCCTGCCACCATGCCTAGTATTATTTCTGCCGCTACCCACGTGTATTTCTTCCAATCGGAGTCTCTTTTTATTGTTGTGCTCATCAGTTCCCGCAACTTGTTCCCTTTTATCACTTTTATACCCTGAATTATTTCTCCCACATTTAGGTTTGAGCCTTTAAATTTGACTATTTGGCTCTTGCTCTCCTCTAATCCCAGGCTTAATCTTGTTTCTAACGCTTAAGCTGTGCAATCTTCTGATTAAGTTATTTCTCCTGCTTCTACAAATTTCAATCTTTTATGCTATGTATGCTTGCATTGCACGTGTATTTTCTCCTCACCCGAAAAGCTGAAAGCATGCTGGTTCGTTGCATATAGGCGCGTCCAGTAAGTACCTTTTAATTTGGCTAATAATATTAAGAATTACTCTGGATTTTTGTTGTACAACCCAGGATTAATTTTATTTCACAAGTATGGTGTTTTTTTACCTCGTTTTCTGGTTCCATCAGTATGCAAATGCGCTTTTATCCTATTTTTTTTGTGCATATTTTAACCGTTTCCTGCGATATTGGTGCAAAACTCTTCGCACTCGAACTGACTGTCACGTATTCATATGTGTTGGTTGTTAAAATGCCACGATGTCTGTTGCATTAAACCCTTCTTGTTCCACTAATCATGGTAGTATTCTAAGGAGATCGAAATCTTTTCTTGTTACCAAGGGCATCTCTATATAGTATATGTTTTACCATTGAATGTTACGTTCGCTGTCTTTGAAGTTTACCTTATTTCTTCCTCTGTTGTTGCACTTTCTTCCCCTAGGAATTTGAGGTCCGATCTTAGTTCTCCTGCTAAGATTTTGGCTTTCGATGCAGCTATTAATGCTTCCTCTTGTAGGTGTGTTACGCCTTGACTCGCTAAATATATTATATCAGTTACTTTTTAAAATTTTGTCGTGAGTTTTTTGGCTGTTTCTTCGAATTTCTCTATTTTGTTTGACACCTTATCCTTTCCCGTTATCAGGTCTGCAAGTATTTTTAATCCTTCTTCCGTTATTTCCCCTGCTTTTTCTTGAAATTTTTCCATTTTCTGTAGTTCTTATTTATGATTCCTGAATGTTGTGACTGTTATTTGTTCCGTTAGATATTTTTTTGTGTCGATTATGGTAGTTGGTTTTGAAACTATTAATTCTTGTATTTTTTTTCTTTTCCGCAATCATTATTTGTACTTTTATCACTAGTACAGCTGCAGTTTGACTAAAAATTCCTTGGCCCACTACTGCTCTGTATGCCTCTTGTACCTTTTCTTTCGTTTGTAGAGCTTCGTCCGTAGCCTGATTTATTTATTTTCCTTTCTTAATGGTACTGGATACTTCCAGCTAACTTGCCTCTGTGCCCGTCAAAACTGTCTTGACTCCTCGATTAGCTGACTCCAATCCATATACCATATTACTTTTTACGTAGATGTGGCCCAGATTTTCTTCTATTATTCCTGAATTTTCCTCGATTAACTCTACCTCCCCCATTTGTTTTTTTTCCTTTGCAGCTACCGCCCTAAAAGAAAACAAAAATTGGATACTTTTCTTTATTATTCTTGCGTTTCCACTCTTCGCAAATTACTTCTTAAATCATTTAGAGAGAAAGAAAAAAAATTTAACTGTGAGCATGGCCTATGCGCCGCTTCTTATTAGTCAAAGCAATAATTTTTCTACACGAAAAGGGTTGTATATTGCAAGTCAAGTCGGGAATAATAGCTCTACCCTTACATTTCGCAGTGCTTGTGCGCTGCTTAAAAACTACATACTACATGATGAAATATTTATCATATTTCTGTACGGTTACAAATCAAGGATAAATAAGTAATTGTTAATTTAAATCGTACAAAGCCGTTCACATATAACATTTTTCAAAACTTAACGACGAAAGAAAAAAAATTTCGTTTTCTTTTTTTTCACTTCGTCAAAAAAGATGTGTTGAATACTACTTTCTTCTCTATTAAATAGGTACTGTTTGTATTAAATACTTAACGTAGTAACTTAGTTGTCATTTCCTTATGTTAACGGTACAATCTTAGTATAAAACGTATCTAAAGGAAGTGTATGCAAGTATTACCATTTATAGTTACCACGGGCAGATTGTTGTGTCCTCTTCGCTCTGTTGTATCCTTTGACCCTGTGCATTGCTTATAACAGAAAGGCGCATGTGATGTTGCAGATTTTTGGTCGTCCTACCTTCCTCCCCCTCTCTTTTCCCGTCTTACTACTTTCCATGCCAATTTTCTCTTTCACATTTTTCCGATGCAAGTGAAAAATAAGGATTGTTAGATATTTTTTTTTTTTTTTTTTTCTTCATTGCAACTCTCTCTGACTTTGTCGTATTAAGTTCTCTCCAGTGCTCCCTGCTTCTTTTTGCGTGTAGAGTATTCAGTGCCTGTTGGTTTCGGCCTTTGCTTACTTCATTCCATACTCTTTTTTTTTTACAATCCCCTCTTTTATTTTGTTTTTATTTTTATTATTTTTTTTGTTT